GGTAGTGCGAGTGATGCTCGATGCATGTTTGTAATGTCGTGCAAGCTGCGCCTGCGAGTGCTGTCGGATGGCGGGGTCTCCTTGTCCGCATTGCCGCGTGCCAGCCAGCTGACGCGCTGTCGCTGGCCTAGCAGCCTGCAGACTACTGCTCCCTGCGAGGCTTGATTCTCAACGACCAATGTTGTGTTCAAGCAGACGTTGCCCCTGGTTATTTGCTCTCCCTATCAGACCGCAGCCCACCAACCCCGCTGCGCGCGCGCAGGCGCAGGTTGCGCGTGCGCAAGTGCTCCAGCCGGTGCTTCTGCGGCACGACGGACCGACCGCTTGCCGTGCAGCGTGGCTGTTTGATGACACGGGCCCGCCGCCTCCGAGTATGGCCGTGCAGCCGCCTCTTCAACGCTGGCGAGCTGGCAACAAACAGTTCCTCGAAATGAGCAACGGAGACAGACCGGCGTCCGGAAAGTCATGTGGTGGTAACGCCGCGGCCACGAAGGGTGGGCAGGTCGATTTCCCAGCTGGTTTTCATCCTGCGTGTGCACCTCCCGGAGTGCAACCGTTTCAGACAGCAGCTCGCGGATGCACGCGTATTGCCTCGACACCGATTCCTACTGATATTCAATCTTATTGAAGCGTTTTTGGTTTCCATATTTCATACCTTGTCTTGAAACCTTCAACTGCAAACCGCACCCTAATTTCCAAATCAGGGTTTTAATTGCATTACTGTACCAAGTCTTTTGTGTGGTGCGTATTTGTGCGTCGCACGAACTTCCCATCGTCGAATCTGGTCTGAGCAACTTGCCTGCCACCGAATGCAGCGGTGCCGACGTGGTCGCTGGCGGACATCCTCCCTAACACCAGCACGGCCCTATCATTCCTGCAACGTTCGCCCCAGCTGGCGCGCCTACCCCACGAGGCTTGTCCTGTTTCATGCGCTAAATGTTTCGAGGATGCAAAACCAACCTTTTCAACGTGCCAGCGCGCAGGCCCATTGATTCAGCAATCTTGCTCGCGGACAACCGGTGATACCAACGCAAAAATGGCGCGTCCGCCGGCCCGAGCGCTGGCTGGGGGAACGAAGAAGGGCGACCCGGGCCCACCGACGTGAAATCCGTCAAGGTGCGCAAGGACAGCCCTCCCTTGCGTGTCGTGAAGGGCAGGACGCTGTCCAAAACAGCGCGCGCCCAAACAACGGTGTGGTCGCGCCGCTGACGTGCGGCCGCTTGTGTGCCCCTTCACTCCAAGAGCAAACCGTCATGGACCAGACGCGCCGAGGCACCTATTGCGTAACTAGGACCGTGCATGCACGAGTTCCTCGACGGCGGGCCCGCAAGCAGTCCAACCACACGCCACGCCCCTTCTGCAAGGTTTTCGTGCCTCAGTGTTTGTGAGAGCAGTCCTCGGCAGCGGCAACAATTCCGCTCAGCTTCTGGTTTTTCGATTGCGGGCGCGGCATTGCGAGTGTTCGTTGCTGTTGGGGACTGCTTGTGGCAGGCAGGCGTTGAGCGTTGCAAGGTTTTCGGTCTCGGTCTGTGTTCTGCGGCCGCTGTCGTGCCGGGGGTTTTGGGCTGGCAGTTTGCCTGCGTTGGATGAACAACCGCCCTCGCTTTTTCTTGCGATGCCTAAGCCTTCCTGAGGCGCTTGCCCTGGCGGGCGGGCCTCAGCTGGGAGCCCCTTCTTGGCAGGATGTTCTGGCTGGCGCCTTGGCAGCCGCGTGCACCGACGATGCTGAGAATTCGTTTCTCCGCCACAGCCCCTGGGTGGCAGCGGCGTGCCACGCGGCTCTGGAGGGCCGTTTTTTTGCGCCTCCGCCTTGACCCCTCTGCAATGGCGCCCGCAAATTGGAGTCGCAACAAAGGCCCTTCGCTGCTTGGACGTGCCCTTTCGCTCCTTGTGCGGATCGTGTTTCCTCCGGCTCCCCCTCCCCATCACCGCAAACACATGCCGGTGTTGTTCGGACCCCCTTGGTGACCAGGCGTGTTGCGGAGTCGCAAGTGTGGCCGCCTGGGTGTGCCGTGGAACTGGGTCTCGGTGACCACCAGCAGCAGCTTGGCCCGACCTCAGCCTGGTGGTTGACCAAATCGATATGGCTTAAGGTCATCGCAAATGGGTTGTGTTTGCATGGCGCATTCACTCGACTCTGCCGGCCCCGGGCGGGCTCGTTGAAACCCGGTTGCGGAAGGAGCGTGTCTAGCGATCCAGCTCTTGTCCTCGCGCTTGACGGGCTGCCGGCCGGGCTGTGGGGTGGAGGGTCCAGCGAGGTTGGCCGCTGCGGCCCGGCCAGTGGGTGGGGCTGGCGCCAGCGCCGCTGGTGCCTGGCCGCTGGGCTTGGCAACAAGGCTCCGGGGCCGTGCTGTTCACCTGGCCAGGCGGGGCACACGGAGGAGTTTGGTCTGGGGTGAATTTCCTACGCCGCCGCCATTTGGTGCTCCTAGCCCTCAAACTCACGTTTAGGACTCGCAGTCCTGGTTTCGTTTGAAACCGTTCCCTGTGCCTTCGACGCCATGGACTCTTTGTTGGGCCTTGCCATTGCTCCTATGGTCTACACAGCCCTGGTGTCCTTCGTCGCCTTCCTGGCGTGCTGGTTCTACTGGAGCCAACCGGAGCGTGTTCCTCGCACTGGCCCTTGCAGTGCGCCTTTATCGGCCACACACCGCGCGAGGCCCGTTTACACATTGCCAAAGCGCAGGGTGTATCATCACAGGGATTGCCATCACCTGGTGCAACGTGATTTAACAGCTTTGAGTCTGCAGCCGTGTGCTAATTGCATTTGCCTTTGGTGAGTCCGCCGTGCCTTTTTTGGACATTGATAGGCAACATTGTCAGTTGCACCGACCTGAATAGCTTCGCTGCAGCCTTTTCAGCCTTTGGCCCCTAACCGTGAGCAGCCGCGCCTCCTCGCAATCGTTCCGAGTGCAGGCGCAGACCAATCACACGCCCCGGGGGCCTGAACCCTGTGACTCTGCCTCAGTCCCAGCCGAACTCCCGGGCAAGCTCCCGCAGCTCAGGGCAGTCACGCCAGAGCCGCCTGCCTCCGCCTAGCTACGACCAGCTGGCCCGAGACATCGAGGCGGCCTAGACTTTCCTTCGCCGTGCGAGCGAAAATGAGTGTTGCGCTACATGTAAAGAAGCATGGAGGTAGTCACAGCCGGAGCACAGGATGAGCTGATGCAGAGCCTGGACTACAAGCTGAAAACCAGCAACACCAACTACGTGACCGCACGGCACGATGTGCAGTATTTTCCCAGCTCGCTGAGCTCCTTCTCTCCCGCCACCTCGACAGCCCTTCCCTGACACCGCGTGTCAGGTTGCCTTGGTTCGCCAAGAGGAAGGACTTGCACCGCGTGCTTGCCTTTGAGGCTCGGGCGAACATGCTCCACAGCCTTTCCCTGACACCGCGTGTCAGGTTGCCTTGGTCCGCCAGGAGGAAGGTCGAGCGCCGCGTGCTTGCCTTAATCCTCTGCACAAGAGGCATGCATGACATCTTCGCGGTTGGTCAATCCTGATGCATTGCATGGAATTTTTCGGTCCCTCGCACCGTGCATACAGCTCTTGAACTTTTGCCGCTCACACTCAGCCATCGCCCTGCCCTTAGCCATGGAGTAAGAGGACACTTTCGACGCCATCCGCCAGAAGCTATCTGGATATCGAAGTGTACTTGGACGAGCTGTGCTGCATTCTTGCCCGCATTCGGTTCCTGTGCCATGTCATTGCCTTGTGCCTTGTCGCCATTCCACTCTGTGAGGGCCTTTGGCTTCTCACGAAAATTTGGGATACAGCACTTTTCTTCGTAGCCTTAATGCCTTGAAGAGTCACGACAAGTGCCCTCTTTTGTTTAGCGCAGCCCGGGCATCAGTCGCAAAACAGTGCCTGAACATTTGCTTGTGTGCAGCCACGCTCGATCATGCACTCCCCTTTTCAAGTGAGCCAGGCCGCGCCGCTAGTCAGTTCATTCAGCCAGCGGCCTCAGTTGCACCACTCGGTCAGAGCCTTGGACCCCCTATGCACGCGACCTCGCAGGCACAAGCGCTCAAATCCTGTTAGCATGTGGCATCACCTAGACGGACTGCCCGGATCTGTGCTGCGCCAGCAATGGATTCGCTTGCTTGTCCCGTGGATTGGAAACTTCTTTGAAAGGCCACGCAATCTTGCCTTACTGAACCGCCTTTGCATCTATGTCGACTACATTCTCATGCGGATGGGCCGCCTTGAGCCGTGTGCAGATCCGCTAAAGCAAGCCGGCGATGAAGCGCCCCCAGCGCCTTCCGAGCCTTCCGAGCCTTCCAAAGACGAGGAAATGCCTTCGGCAGCAGATGAAAAGCCCAGCACTGCACCAGCTCCAAAGACCATGCCCAAGGCGCGGACACAGCCAAAGACGAAGGCGCGCCCTTCTCAGCTGGCACTGGATACGCCTTCCGAGATGGATACCGCGCCAGTGCCAGATTCGCCTTTGCCCTCGCCTTCCACCGGGCAGGGCCCGGGGGATGAGCCACCGTGCCTTTGGCCGCCTCCCTCTACACGAGCCGCAGCCGGAAATTGGGCAAGAGTGTTGGAGTTGGGATGGAAGCTGGTGGTTCAACTACTACAGCCTTCCAGGACAGCAGCCACCTGCCGAAGCCGAGGGTTAGCCGAAGCTGCGAAACCCGGAGGGCGCAGGCAGCGTCGCGTATTGGGCTCTTTTTCCTTCTAGAGTACACAAGGCACTACAGGTACTACAGGGGCTTGAGCCATGTACAAGAACATACACAAGCCTCTGCCAGTTGACATCTCACATGACGATCTTTACATCTTTACTTTACATGTCATGGGATTCATGGAAAATTCGCCACCCCCCTTAAAGGCGGCATGTGAACTGCTCTTTGTACAAGCAAATTCAACTATTTACCCTCCGTCCGGGGGCGGAGCTTCCCGCTCGAACAGCGAGGTTGCCCTCATGTCTCGGGCTTGCCGGCGGGGGCGACCGCACGCCTTGACCTTTGGTTTGGCCTTTGCTTTCTCCCAACTTTGTGCTTTTGCACAAGGCGGATGGTCCCGCTGCCTGGGCGGTCATTCCCGCGCCAGCGTCCTCAAGCTTGGCAGGGAAGCCTGGCTTCCAAGGCTGCCGCTTTACCGCGGACACCTTGACGTTGATGCGCTGGAATTGGGTGATGTCAAGGCTCTCCAGCATTCCTAGCGAGGGCAGAGCTTCCCGCACCTCTGTGCCGGTCTTGGCATGCTTCGTTAAGAAGTTGGCTGGGTTCCAAGTGCCCTTGACCTTTCCAACGCTAAGCTTTCCAGCTTGGATCGCTCCTTGCACATAGAACTCGCACACCTCCAGGTGGCGAAGCTTGGATCCTGGCCCGATCCTCCTGGCTGCCGCCTGAGCTGAGCTCGAATCGGTCCAGAGCTTAGGCTTCTTGACCTTCAGCCCGAAGTCGATCGTGGCCAGCTCCTGTATGAAGAGAGCTTCTCGCGTCCCCCTGCTCACGCCACGCAGCTCAGCATCAGGCGAGCTAGTTGCTGGGAGTCCCGGCTGCGTCTGTGACCCGCAAGCCACTACAGCTCCTCCAAGCACGGCGATGTAGCAGTCGGTGGAGCGTCTCGTCTCGAGACATCCGGCCCAGTCCGAGTCCGTGAACAGGTCCAGGGTCAGCTCGTTCTGGGCGGTGGCTCCCGCTTCCAGAGCTACCACTGTGTACATCTCTGGATGGCGGTTTAGGTAGGCTGCTAGTATCTTGGCAGCTTTCAAATCGCATTCCCTGGGATTGGACATCCTTCTGGCCAACTCTTTCGTGGCAAACTGGATATCTCTTCGGTCCGCAGAAAGGTAAATGGCACTGCCAACTGCGCTGCGATAGGCTCGCGCATCCTCCTCTGAAAGTGGCATCACTTCCAGGAGGTTAAGTTGGCGGCTTGGCACCTCGGACCTTTCCTTGGTGACCCCGAGCGCATTCTTGATGTTCTCGACATGCACCTTATCTGCTTGTGTGAGGATGGCGTCCTCCAGACGGATCTTGGTTCGGTTCAGCACTTCCACAACAGTGCCGACCCGCTCAAGTTCCCCACTCTGAACTTCGCAGTACTTCGGCAACTCCACATCGTAGAGGTAGTCCAAGGCGTCGTCTGGGCCTGTACCTCTGAAGTCGTCGATGTGGTGCACGATCACGACTCCACTCTTCGTGCAGCGGTAGACCGTCGGGTCTTTCTCGCCCCGCACGAAGTGGTAGCGCTTCTTGTCCAGCTTGTTGAGCAAGATGTCCTCAAGCTCGTTCCTGAACACGGAACCTGCTGGTCGGCGTCCGTACAGGTTTCCGTCTAGGCGGAACAGCAGGTCCTTGAAGCGGTGGCGGTACTTGGCTTGATCCGCCGGCGCTAGGCCCGCAAGCCATTTCTCGAATAGCTCTTGCCACTCCACTGGTGCTCGGACATAGACGGGATTGCCTTCGGCGGCTCCCTTGTCCGCGCCGATCAGGAACGCGGCTACAATGTCCAAAGGCCTCGTGTGGTATCCGTGCGCCAGGGCATACACCTCAAGGAGCGCATGACTCTCAGGCGTTGGAGTAGGGACGAACACGTTCATCTCCTCCTCCTGGCTTTTGGTGTAGCGCGCTTTCACATCTGCGCACGTGAAGCGACTTTTGTACACCCCTCGGCTGCTTTTGTCAACCCACTTGTGGTGGAAGATCTGGGAACCTTTGGGGATCTCCTCTCGAAGGACGGGCGTGAATGCCTTCTTATCCCACAACTTCTTGAGCTGCGCTTTGCGCGCTATGTGGACCTGCTCAGGGTTGAGGAGCTGATCCACATAGTCAGCTACGTTGCTGATGCGCTGCATCGCAAAAGGGTTCGACGCTTCGTCAGACTCGCCCCATTTCTGGATGGCTTCCCAGATCTCCAGGGCGGTAATGCCCGCAACCTTGGGTGTCTTTGCTGAGCTGCTTGGCTGAGCTGGCGGTGCTTCCCGCTTCAGGCCCCCATCTCCAAGTCCAGTTGGGCTCATTGGTGTGTCGGGTAGCGAAGCAAGAGGTGAATGCCACGCCGCCCCCCTGAAGGGATCAGAGGGCGCTGCTCCGGCGGTGTCTCCTGCTACGGGCGGCTCGCCTTCTGGCGCGCTCGGGCTGCAGTCCGACATTTCCTCGATGACCGCCGCTGCCTCCACGGCTGCTGCGTCTAGGTCGATGTCAGCTCCATCGTCCGCGATCTCCTCCGCCTTCTCCTTGCTCTCCATGCAAAACTGCGTGGGCAGGCGCTGGCATGACCACGACACTTGACGTCTCACGTGGGGCGACTCGGTTGCCATCTCGTGGCTTCCACGGTAGCCCACGCACGCAGGCCATCAGATCGTTGTTGATCTGTTCCGCACTGGGCAAGCGGCGGACGGACCGCACAGCGATTGCCCCGGCGGTAGTGCCGATGACATGGCTGTCGTCCTTCTCCAACTTGCCCAACCATATCCCTTGAGCCACTTCCTGGCAAGTTTGCTTTCGGCCAGGGGAACTTTTGCCAGAACGACCTCGCCAAAATGGCAAATGGGCTTGGCGTAGTCGTGACCGTTCACCAACTTGAATGGAGTGCACCGGTCTTGCCCTCGCACGTGGTATCTAGCCACGCTGCATGCTTGACCAACCATGGCATGACGTTGTGAGTTGGTTCCAGCTCAGGATACCGCTCCTGCACGTCTGCCCACAAGGTTCGGATCTGGCCTGCCACAAAGCCATTCGCCGATTCGACAGAACCCTGCGACTGGTGCGACCTGACAGGCGCAGCCCTTATCTTTAGCTTTGCTGCTCCAACATGGCGCTGCCAAGCTTTGGCTACGGCTCCTATGGTGTTTTCAGCGTCATGCTGCACCACGGCCTTGTCGTGCCCGAGGTTGTTCAACCACAGCGTCAAGTTGTTGAGCACATACTGGCCGTGCTCCAGGCCCTTCCTGGGAATCTGGAGGGCAAAAGGCCATCCAGAGTCCACATCTATAGCGACCAGCATGGTGAAGAGACTTGACTCTTCCTCCACCACGGCGGCGTTCCTTCCAAGGAACAGGTAGTCAATTTGGATCACCGGTGTCTTCTCCACACCGATGTCCCCATTGGCTCTTCGCCTGTGGGGGTCTTCCTTGCTTTTACCTGCCACGCACAGTTCGCACCAAGGCTGAAATGGAAGGTGTGTCATACTGTGTGTTGCCCTTTCGGCTGCAGTGGGCGCTGGAGGCGCTTCTGCTGCGAGAGGCCCTGGCGCTTCAGGCACCAGCGCCTCCTCTTCCAAGTCGCCATCAGCGGCTTCCTCCTCCTCAGCTGGGTGCTCTGCTTCTGCTGCAGGCAGTTCATCGTCATCGCTGCTGTGCTCTGCCGCAGCATAAGCCTCAACAGCCTCTTGCTCTGGGTCCACCACTGGCGCGATGCGGACATGCGCTCTACTGGCCCAATCCTTCTCACGGTAAGGCAGCACAAATTGCCTTCCCTTCCGCTCGAAGGTTGCCTTTGACCCATCCGGCCATTGGATGTAGCAATCCTGCGGCGAAAACAGGATGCTTGCTCCGTCATCGATGGCTCGGTTGATCGAAAGGATGTTGTCGGTAATTCCCTCGACCACTTGGAAAGCTATTTGCGCTTCCTGGCGGCTTTGCCCGCTCCCAATGGTGAGATGTGGGCGGACCTCCCCGCACGCGTAGTGGACTGTCGTCGACCGAGTACAGAGACTCGACCACGGTCGGGTCGACTGCCGCCTTGAATGCGTCGGGACGGCATACGGAAGTACACGCTCCGGTGTCCACCAGGAGATCACCTACCCGGGCGACCGTGGACGCACCAGGGTTCTGCTCAAACAACATGATGGCCCGAACTCCAGTGCCAGAGAATGGCTCATGGGGGTTGGTCAAGTTCTTCCACTTGACCCTGTGTTCGATGCAGTCCCACTGCTGGCGCATATCATGCAGTTGCCAAGTGGTTCTCAAACCATAGACCTTGTGTTGTGGTCCAGGCGTGACTTTCTTTCTGATGCGCTGGCTTTTGCCACAAACCACATAAACCTTCTGGTTCGGCAAGCCATGCCAACCCGGCTGGTTGTGGAACGCGAGGATCTCGCCCGGGATCTTGGTGTCCCCCTTTCCCTCAGACACTCGCAGCATGCGAATGGAAGAGGTTCCCTCGCTCACAGTTCGCACCGCTCCACGCACGCTGGACGCGGCACTGGGCGCCGGAGCTATCTGGGACGCGGAGGGGCCCGCACCTGGGAAGCGGTCTCATCGTTGACATTGGACACGGTTCTCCTTTGCCTTTCCCCTTGGTGTTGAACCAACATTTGTCTGTGGTGTGGCTGTTCTTCCAGCAGATGGCACAGTTAGGCTTCTCATGTTCTTTCTTGTCACCCCCTTTCGGAGTGTCATTCTTCCCTTTGCCCTTGTCGGTCTTGCCACCTTTAGCTTTGCCTTTCTTGCCTTTGTCTGAACCTTTCCCATCGCCCACCTTGCCAATGTCCATGGCGTCTTTCCGGGCGGTGTTTCCCGCGTACGTGGCTGATGGGCTCCATACTCGCTTGGCTTGCAAGTAACCAACCACTGCGTCGCGGACAGCTTCGTAGCTATTCAGCACTGCGGCGTGCATCGCCAGGTGTTGCCTGAGAGCTGCGGGTGCCTCGGTGATGACCACGGCCCGCTTGTCTTCATCGGCTATGGCCTTACTTGGTCCGTACTCGGACTCATACCGGTCCAAGTCTGCCTCCCACTCTTGGAGGGCTGCGCTGAACTCAGCTTCTTTTGCAGGAAACTTGGGACTCAAAAGAGTTCTTCTCCAAATCAGCGCTTTGGAGTGGTTCTCAGGAGCAAATTCGCGAAACAGGAGGCGCCAAAGTTCGAATCCGTTCTGCTGTCGAATGCCTCGTGACAGCTTGGCTGCTGCCGGGCAATCTTGCACCCAACTCGCTAACATAGCAAACAGCTTGCGCGAGCGGTCTAGTGTGTCCTCGGACATCTCGTCCGGATCCAGAAAGTCTGTCGCTTTGCGACTCATTTCCAAAACCTCTGGCATGCTACCATCCATGAAGGCTAGATACGTTTCCGTTTGGAACACAAACTTTTCCCACCCGTCACGATCCTTCAGATTTTGCGGCGTGCGGACAGCCTTCATCACATCCATGTGATGCATGATCCCGCTCGGTCTGTTACCGGCGGCAGCGGTCGCGCTTGGACCGTTTGGTCTTTGCGCGGCCTGACCCTGGGCTAGCATCAGCTGAGCGACGGCGTTGGTGAGCTCTGTGGTCTTGGCCTGCGACGCCTCCAAGGCGGCTCGGAGGGCTTGTCGCTCTGCTTCGAAGGGCCTCGCTTTGGGTGCTTAGGCCATGCGTCAGAGCTTGAACTTGAGAGACCAGTTCCTGCATCTGAGCGGCGAACTGGCCAGGCGGATTGCCCGCTCCAACCCCTCCTCCAGCTCCAACGAGCTCGAGGCAGCACTGCCCGCTCTCAGCCTTGCGACTGGAGGTGGGGCCTGCACCTGACCGGTGCGGCTCGCAATGAGCGCTTGCTTGCACTTGTGCTTGAAGTCCTCGACCGGCTCAGGATCTGGGTCACTGACGTCCCCAAAATCAACGGACTCCTCAATGGCCGAGTCCGATGCTCCAGGCGGAGACTCCCGCACCCTGGCCTTGGGCTTTTCCTCCCGCTCCCTGTCCTGCTCCTGAGGAGGCGGGTCTGCCCGCTCTGCCTCGAGAAGCGGAGGGGCCCACGCAGCTCGCGCCTTGCCGGCGGGAGCTGAGACCGCACGAGCTTTGTGATGCTCGTGCCGCCCGAGAAGACGACCTTTTGTCTCCTCTGTGGCCTCCAGAGCTGGCTTGCCAGCCCCTAGAGGCGCCCACTGAGGCCGCTCGATAAGCTTGACCCTTGGGCCAGCCTCAACGATCCCAGCTACTGCAGGCTCCTCTTGTGGAAGCGGACCTGCTGGCTCTGGAGATGCCGGGGAGTCTTCTTCTGACTTCTCCTCCTTGGCAGCGTCTGCTGCCTCCTTGCGCTCCTCGGCCGGCGGGCTCGGGGGCGCTGGCAGCTCAGCTGGCTGAGCTGCGGGGCTTGGCCTCTGACCCTGCCAAGCCTCTCCCTCGCGCTGCGCTGTAGCTTTACGCCGCGCGATGCCTCGGGCGATCCTCTCGGCCTGAGCCGCTTCAGATCGTGCACCTCGGTGGTTTCGAGGTCGCTGGCTCCAGTCTTGCCAGCCTTTCCAGCCCCGGCTGGACCAGCTTTGAGATTGCCAAGCTGGTTCGGACCAGGCCTGGCTCTCCCACCAAGGGCCTTGCTCGGCTTGAGCTTGGCCTTGACGATCTCCTGGCGGAGATCCACTCCAGTCCCACCAGGAGGACCCCGGGCGGGACGTGGCGGCGAGTGTCCTCGCACAGCCTTGGCTGCGCGGTGCTACCCGCGGCAGGCCGATTAGTCCTCACGACCTTGGTCGCGGGGCTACCCGCAGAACCAGGAACTCAGTTGAGTTCCTGCGGAGGGCCCTGACCGTTGAGCTTGGTCAGAGCTCCGCTACCATGCGAAACCCGGAGGGCGCAGGCAGCGTCGCGTATTGGGCTCTTTTTCCTTCTAGAGTACACAAGGCACTACAGGTACTACAGGGGCTTGAGCCATGTACAAGAACATACACAAGCCTCTGCCAGTTGACATCTCACATGACGATCTTTACATCTTTACTTTACATGTCATGGGATTCATGGAAAATTCGCCAAAGGACTTCGCCTTCTTTTTTGACAGGTGCTGGTGCCAAAACAGGCGCATTGCTTGGCAGACGCCATCTACGCCCTCGCCCTGGCCGCCCTCGACGCACTCGCCCTGGCCGCCATTGCCTACGCCCTCTCCTTACAGCGACCGTCGGCCCCAAGAGAACCGCCATGCCGTCCAGCAGTTGGAGCAGTGCGTGCTCAGTCCAGCCATTCGCCTTCCATGCACTTGCCGCACAGCACGCGTCGGGGAGTGGGCCAGGTGCTACTACCTGGACGACCAGCGCAGGCTTTGTTGTGCCCTGCCCTGCGCAACTCGCCATTGCCCTTACAACTCCGCATGCGGCCGCCTTATCGATGTGAGCACACGCACTCTTCGCACTACTGCAGCAGATGCTATGAGCGTTATGAGCGCTACTAGCACGGCAGTTGCCTCCTTCGGCCCTGTTCGCCTTCACCGAGCCTTCCCAAGCATCCCGATGGCTTGTAACATAGTGTGCAGTGCCCGCCTTTGCGCAAGCAAAAGCCAAAGTCTTGGAGACTTTTCTTTTATTTTGCATTTTGTGCTGCTCAGTTTGTCAAGCTTTATGGCACTGCAGGTACCACCTGGCGCACTTCCGCAGTCGCAGTGCAGCCCTTACGGCACGCTTGCTTCGCATTACGACCATGCAGTGATTCTTGCAAAATTCAAGCCTCTTTGTTCACACCGCAGCATGCTCAATCATGCCGTATAGGAACAAACAATTTTGGGGGAAGCCCATTCTTCTCTCTCCGGGCGATTTTTCAGAAGAAGGGGCCTCAAGCCATGAGGGCCTCCTTGAGCCATCCAGGGAAGTCAAGCCGAGCCCAACACCGTGCACTGCTTTTTCGCCTCTGGGGCGAGACGGTCAGGCAGTGCCCCGCGCGCCTGCCTTTAATTTAGGGATTTCACCCAAGGCCAAGCCCTCAAGTTGCCATGCCCACCTCGCCAGACCCTATCCTGAGCGCCACTCTATGGCAAGTCTTCAGGTCCGTCTGCCGCATCAACAGGCGCCAAGCCCATGCGCCGATGATGCCTCGACCAGGCCTTTGAGGAGCAACATGCAACGAGCCCAGTCTCTTCATCTCAGCTTCATGCTTCTCCCAAGGACAACTGCATTTTGGTTGAGCATCTTGCAAAACTGCAGAGATTCAAGCCTTCTCGCACAAGCCTTGGAGTCGTCGAATCAGCCTAAAGTTCTGCTGGAGACCTCCCTGCGCAAGTTTTCGGCGGCTACCCTTGCGCAATACCTACGAGCCGTTCGCATTTTTCTGGCCTTTGTTTCGCAGTGCGCAGGAAGCTTCTCCCTCCTTAGCCTTGCACACCTGTCCGATTTCCTCGCGGGTTGTCCGACCTCCGTGCAGGAAGATAGGTCGACGTTGAGATGCAGCCCCTTGCTAATGTGCAAAGCACTTTTCGGCAAAGCCTCCCAACACCTCCGCAATGCCGGAGTTGGAACTGTGCGAGGGCAACTGGAAAACGGCAGGAAGAGTCTGAAGTCGTACAAAGCCTTTTGGATAAGGAAATTTCTAATAGTTGGGTAGTCGCTACCGACTTGCTTGACGGTAGCAGAAGCCCAGCGTAAATGGCCCTTGGGTGTCGCCATAGGAAAATTGAATGTGGTCTTTGCCGAAAATATAGAGACTCGCCTGGTACTAGATAGCACGGTTTGTCAGGTGAACACCAGATGTTACCTGCCAGAACGCCTTAGCCTTCCGATGGCGTCCGATTTAGCCCTAGCCACCCAAGCGAGTGACACACCAGGGGCATTCATCGGAGCCAGCGTCGAATTCAAGGCCGCCCACAAACAGATCCAAGTACGCCCGGACGAGCACGGCCTTCTGTTCTTCGCCTTCCAAAGCAAACTCTATCAGACGCTATCATTATAGAGTTTGCCATTTTGGCGGGCGTTTTTCTGCCCACTGGTGGCAACGCACAGGAGCCTTCCTGCTGCGCCAGGTCCACGGACTGCTAGCATGGCAGCCACACAAGGCGTTCCTGTTTGTGGATGACCTTCTGTGCGCCCTGCTCCGTGCTCACGCACCAGAAATGTTCGCCCTGGTGGCTCTATTCTTCTGTGCCATAGCCGCGCCGATCTCCTGGAAGAAGGCGCAGTTCCAGGATTGCCTTGTGTGGTGCGGTTGGGAGATAAATTTCGCTCATGATACCATCCAACTCATGAAGACCAAACTGGTCAAGCTGGAGGATCTCATCACGACCCTCCTCGACAAAAGAAAGGTCCTTCGCAAAACGCTGGAGCAATGCATTGGCTTGCTTATCTGGGCCACAAGCATAGCTCTACATTTGCGACCCTGGATGGCGCCGCTGTACGCCGACCTTCATAGCCCGCCAGGCTCCATGCACTCCATCCAGCCGCAATTGTGGTCGGCCTTTCGGAAATCTGTAAATAAAGATTTAAGAACTGGCAGCAGCCTGCCAAGCCTTTGGGTTTCGGCAGGTTCCAAAATTTTGGAAATCGCGGGCAGCACCGTACACTGCCTTGAGGACATCCCACGCATTCCAGGCACCAGCAAGCCTACGTGGGTCCGCATAGCCGACCCAAACAACCCTTTCACCGCCCTCTCCAAAACCAGCCAAGCTTGCCTGGAATGGCTGGGGTCGTGCCTCAAGCACTCTCCCATACAGCCTTTAGCAAAGCAGCCCCAGTTGCAAGCCCTGGCAGCCGCATGCCTGCGCTGAAGAAGACCTAGTGGGCATAGGGGGTTGGGCGGTCACATCCTCGCAAGTGGTGTGGTTCGCAGAAACCTGGACTATGCAGGATGTCCGTCAAGTGTGGCCCTGCCTTTCCAAGCCTGCGCAACGCTACATCGCGCGCTTCGAGACGCTTGCACAGCTGGCGCTTCTCCAGGCCACGCATAGCCACATTGGGGGCGGGCACTACTCGGTTAGCATGCCCTCAGGCACTGACAACTCGGCAGCAGAAGCAGGCATTAACAAGATGTTCACAACATCTTGGCCTCTGCAGATTTTTGTGCAGCCTGTCGCCTCTTGGGCGCATGCAAAAAACGTTCTTCTGCAACCGACTCACCTGCCGGGGCGCTACAATGAGAAATCGCATTGGGCGCTTCGCCCACCGCCCTGCGGATCGCGTGCGTTTCAGCCCTGCCGGCCTTGCACAGGCAGGGCAGGGCATCACACTCTGCCCCGCAGCAGCGCCGTGGCGCCCAGAACATCTGGCCGCAGCCACCGGTCATGTGTAACACATGGCTCAACGTGCCCGACAAGTTTCGGAAAGCTGTTGTAGCCTCCTGCCGCCACGCGCACTCGGGGCGGCGCTGTTAGCAGTGCTACTGATTGAGCCATGGCCCACGCATACGACATTTGCAAACAATGTATTCCGGATTTACCTGCACTCACATGGGGCGACTGCACGGTGGTCGCCAAGGCAGTCCAAGCCGGCGTGTGCTTTCGGCAATTGGGAGCCAAAGAAGGGGGCGGTGAGCGCAGGGCTGGTGGGGAGTGGTCAGAACACGGCCAGCGAAAGCAAAGGGGCCCTGCTGTAACTCCAACAGCGCCAACGCAGAGGGGTCAAGGCGGAGGGACAGATCCTGGAAGAGACGGTTTTTAAAAGCCGCAGTGGCACGCCGTGCCGCGTCACTGCTGACAAACAAATTGTGGGGAGGCTGGCCTCCACCAACAGCCTAAGTCCTGCAGTGCCCGGGGGCACCCATTAAAGAGTGGCTTCCGGGGGGTGAGCCAGTGGACGGGCAGACGGAAAAAGGCGTGAGAAAAAAGTATTAAAAATGTCAACATTGTCAGGGCTCGCGGCCGGCAAGGCGCCAGCCAGATCATCCTGGCAGCAAGAGGGCCCACTTTGCGAAAACCATGATATTGCATCAAGGCGCTGTTCGTGCTCATAAGTAGAGGAAAATGGGGTCCATGCATTTTCTTTAATGGCCGACACGTACACCTGCCATCGGTTTGTCTAATCATTGTTCCTCCGTATTCTGAATCTAGCAGTGGTGAGAAACTTGAACGTGCACCATCCTATTTAGCCCGTTCCTTGATTCGCTCGCGGCCACTCAGTGTTGTTTGAAGAACCACCACGTTTTGGGTTTGCAGAATGGGGTCATTGTGGCTGTTCGGCTTGCCATTTGTCAGCCAGCTCGCACACGACTTGTGCACGTGTTGCCATGGCGGAGGCCAGCGCTCCCAGATTTGAGCGCTTGCAAGGCATCAATAATGACGGGGTTTGTCGGGCTATCTCCTTGATGTACATAGAATATGTTCTCGGTTGCAATCCTCACCATGGCGACCGGGATGAGCTTGGCAGAGCCCCTGACCCCATGCCCGAGCATGGTTGGATTCCGGATGCAGTTTTCCGCCCGTCCGAACGGTTAGCCCAGGAGCTGTATGATGAGTCTGATTTTGCGAAAGTGCTTTCCGAACGGCGTGAGCCAGCACCCTTTCTGTTGGACACCATGCCCAGCCTGGTGTTGTTTGAGAAGGTCAGTGACCTCGTCAATGATTATGATGACGCGATGCAGAAAGTCCTGCCATTCTTGGAGCAAGGCTTAGGATTTGTATTCTCCTTCTATTATTTCAGGCTTGATGAGGATGATGAGCCGAGAGGGGCCCATGCCATTGCTATCGACGTTACAGGGCACCCGGCAGGTTTTCACGTGATGGATCCAAACAAAGGGGTATGGCAATTTAGATCCATTGAAGATCTCGTTGTTTGGATGACAGATGGTGAGCTGGTGAGCGATAGGCATGGACGACGCGTGAAGCAGTTGTACAAGGTTCGGTTGGTTCAAGTGACACGGCGCGAGTGAGATCCAGTTCGGCCAAACATCGCGGGAGCTGGGCCGTGACTGTTTTTGACGAGCATAGACGCGCACGATAGTGATCACTTGGCATGTAGCGGACTGCCGCTAGACGGCTCCCTAGTTCATGGCCAAGGACTTGCGTACCAAGATGGTAGACAAGTCACAGGAGTGACTTATCCAGTCGCGATTTCACACAATGCATCGAGGAGCTGGTTTTCAAAGATGCAAGGGACATGTGCAAGAGACCCATGGAGCATGATTCAGACGGGCTGTTGCAGTCCATGGTCTTAAGTTGCTATCATCTAGTACCCCAGCCAGAGGATGATAAGAGTGCTTTGCTCCAACAATGGTTGCTCAATCGAATTGAGGGAAAAGAGTTCCAGTGGTGGAGTGCACAGTTGACTACACTTTCAGCACCATCATTTCCATTTCCATCAGCCCAGAAAACCACACCCGTGTCAAGTCACCCCGCGGACCTCATTCAACCCCTCCGCCCAATCGCGTGTCCTCACGATTCGCCTGACTTCGGTAACATCTTGAATATGGTGTGTCGCGAAGGACTCCCAATTTTTGGTCAGCGTCGTTAGACTTACAAGATCCCGGCGCACGCAGCTTATCTTTGACGCCCCGGCGCTGTCGCGGTAAGTTTTGAACATGGCACGGGAGCCATGGTATACCGTGGTTGGTTCAGCTCTTTCCTCGCGCGGAAGAGGATTTGGAGTTGGAAGTTGGTCATATACAGACCGCAGTTCCGCATTTGTGTAAGCCGCATGTGGCACGTACGCACAACGGCGCAGCCAATCAAAACGTCACCGTGCAAGAGTCGATCTGAAATTGGCGCAATTTGCCCAATGTTTGTCGGTGTGGTTCGCATGTATAAAGAATAACTACTCTGGCTGCCCTCTAACCGTACATCTCCAGCAGCACATGTTTCACTGAACAAGCAGCATCCAATTGACATGCGGAGATATAGTTTCCCAAGCATTCTGCAATTCTTTCAGCTGTGTGTAGTCTTGCTTTTGAAACGCGAGCATAGAATCCGAAAGCGGGGCGTCTTGCGCTTAAAAAATGCTTCATCTGTCTCTGTAGGGCTGTTCCTGGGCTCCCTTGCTGCTTCTGCTTAAAATATCGCTGGCCGTTTCGTGGTCTGTTCTGAGAATCCGTCCATTGCGCCAGTGGCTTCGGGATAACTTGAGCGACAACCTTGTACCTCCATCAGCAGTTGCGGTAGGCATGGTTGATTACCAGTCTCCGTTTAGCAAGTCCCCCATTGGCCCAATTGACCGCGAGGAAAGCTTATTTGGTACGGGCCTCCGGTGTTTTTCTTTCAAGTCGACAATGGTGCAAGCCTAAAACCTACTTCAAAGCATTCCCTCCATGCTCTAGCAGACAGGACGCTGACGCATCATCGTGGAAGTAGCAATTATGAACAACAAAAGCATCTATCCACTCCGGATGGTCACTGTTTTGGTCTCATGTTTGAGCTTGTTCACTGGCGGCATTGGTTGCAGCGCATCGCTTGGCCGCCGGAGTGCTTTTCTATGGACTCTCCGTGCAGACCTTCAGCTGCACATTGGGTGAACAAAAAAAGTCATCTCCTTCATCTGGTCGAGGCCACCTGGCTCACATGGTTTCCCCTATGCATAAAGCCAAGCATTTCATATCCGAGGTGTCTTGCCATGGCCTTGTAGACGTAGCTCTGACTTCAGATTGCTCTGGCAGTTCGACTGGCTCGAAGGTGCGGACAGGTTCGGCAAACGACACCGATGGGATGTGCAAAGCTTGGGATGCCAAAGCTGCAGCTTCTTATGGGATGCAGACATGTTTCAACAGATGAAATTTGAAACACAATGACCCCAGATGACGTTGCATTCTGCATACTTGCATGCAGCTGGCAGGCGAATCTTCCGCGGTTGTTCTGTCAAACGTTTTTTTTAGTGCCTGGTTGCTGGTGCTCTCTCCAAGTCAGCTGGTCTGAGAGGGGGACATTCGAGTGGCAGATGGTCCTTCAGTTCAGCCATGGAGGATGGCCGAGCTGGACATTTGTCGCTGGCGCAGCTCCATGCTGAGCTGGCACGTTCGGAGGAGGCCTGCCGCTTTCGGCGCGAGGAGGCGGCTAGCTGCTGGTGCCATGCCGCCGGCCGCAAGTTGCGCGCCCAGAGGACTCTTCCGGTGGACGCTGCGCTTCGTGCGCTGGACGCAGTGCAGTCAGAGCCGGGGCTGCGCGGAGCACTCCAGCAGCAGTGCGTTGCTGCGGCGCGGGCGGAGGAGAGGCGCCGAAGGCTGCAGGAAGAGCTGCGCGCCGCGGAGAAGGATGCGGAAAAGGTGACCTCGGGTCTGCCTCAGCTGCTGGCGGCGCGTTGCGCGGAGCTGGCGTGCCAGGACGCGCGCCTGGCGCAGCTCTCGCAGTTTGAGGTGGACGAGCTGCGGGGCCAGGCGGCGCGAGCCGAGGCGCAGCTTGCGGCGCTGCATGGGCGCAGCGGGCGCTGGCCCTCGGTGCGTGCGGCGGAGGCGGAGCACGTGGAGCGCCGCAGTGCGGAGACGCAGTGTGCGCGACAGCGAAGCCTGGGGGCCCTGCAGGAGGCGCAGCAGCTGCAGGCCTTTCAGGCGGGACGCCAGGTGCAGTGCCGGCGGCTGCAAGAGGCGGTGGGTCGCCTGGAGGCTGAGGCGCTGCGGCTGCAGGAGGCGCTGCAGCAGCGAGAGGAGCAGCTGGCTGGGGGGCGGCTGGCGCAGCAGCTGGAGCTGAACACGCTGCGGCGCAGCCTGCAGCTGCGTGCTGCACAGTTGGGGGCCAAGACTCGGGAGGCCGTGTGGCTAAGGCGCCAGGGCCGCCGCGATGGCCCAGTCAGAGCAAATGAAGCGACACGAAAAAAGTTGTGTGGCCGAGTTGAGAGGCTCTGCCAAGGCAGGTTGCCTATGACCTTGTTTTGGCTACTTTCTCGAATCATGACTTCATGACTGCATAAGCTAGTAGCTCTGCATCGCAGGTTAGTCCACCGAAATACCGGACTTACGTTCAGAACTCCTAACAGTTGTCCATTGCATTTGCTTTGGTTTTGGTGTTTGAGAACATGCAGGCTCTTCGGATGTGTTGAAAGACCAGCAGCAACGTTTGTGCCAACGAAAAGCGATAACCTCTCCTTGCATCGTTTTCTTTAGGAGAGCCAGGCTGCAAAATAAATGAACCGGCTTCATGGCCGGAGCGGCCTCGTTTGTTGGTCCTAGTATGGACCAGTGCTCATGCCAGCGCCAGTGCGCTGCTTCCTTTCCAAGCGAAGGAAGCCATGTCGAGACTTGGAAACATCTAGCTGTCAGGGCTCCGGGCTTGAAAGTGCAGCGTCATGCAGCATTTCAACGCTACAATGCAAACATTTCAGCGTCAAGTTGCGGCATCCTTGCTTTCTATTTCCATAGCTCCAGAAGCCATGGCTAAGCGAAGGGAAGATGGCTTGCTGGTGGTGACTGCGTGCTCAGCCTCGTGCGTGCCGGGCATGGGCATGGGAAGGCCAAACCCATTGGCAGTTCCAGTGGCAAAACGGATGTCTTCGCATGAGGCTCGCCCGCGCGCCATCCCTACCCCGGCCAGATCCATGGCTGGCGTGGCCCGGGAGGCGATGCGGGGCCCAGCTCCGGTCCCTTGCCCACCCCCCTGCCATTCGCCGTCGGCGTCACCTCGGTGCGGGACCCCTCGCTCGGACTTCCGCGTGCAGACGCCCCGCAGCCCCGGCCGCAGCGCCGGCGGGTTTCCCACCCCTGGGGCACAACATCGGGCGCCTGCGGTCTTCGCAACCCCAGCGCCGCCGGGCCAGCATCCGAGGGCGCAAGTGGTGCAGGGGTTGCAAGAAGGGAGGTTTCAGCCTGTGCGTGACGTGAGCCAGGGCTACCAACGGCCAGAACAGGCGTCACGATCCTGGATGCCACCAGCTACCCCCAGATCTGGACCCGGAGCAGCTCGTTCAAACAAGTCTTGGATCCCACCTCCAGTTGCAGGCGCCGGTTTCAACCAGATGGCCAGCAGCCAGATGGCCAGCAGCCAGATGGCCAGCAGCCAGATGGCCAGCAGCCAGATGGCCAGCAGCCAGATGGCCAGCAGCCAGATGGTCAATAGCCAGATGGCCAGCAGCCAGATGGTCAATAGCCAGATGGTCAACAGCCAGATGGTCAACAGCCAGATGGTCAATAGCCAGATGTCCAAACATATGACCAACCAGATGAACAGCCAGAACCAGAGCCAGCGAATGGCAAGTGCCCACTACGATGCACGAGCCATGGCCATGAACCGTAGTGCCTCCAGGGATGCGGGATTTCGCGTCGACCGCTCTGAGCAGCGAGTGGGTCGCATGGCAACCAACCCCTGGTCTGTCAGGCCATTGCCACCGGTTCCATCGCCGCCGGAGCCCGACGCAAGCTTGGGGTTCCTGACAAACCCCATGCCCAATTGCACTTCCATGGTCATTGATGCAAGGCCCCCGGAGCTGAGCATGCTCCAGGGCTGCCAGACAATGATTGCAACTGCAAGCCAGCAGGAGATGCTCGCGGTTCAGCAATTGGCTCCGCGATTTCCGCACTGTGCTTCCCTGGTTGCGTACCCCGCGCTCTACAAAGCAGCACGGAAGAGTCAGGTTGAGGTGTTGCAGATGTCGTCAGCCTATGCATCCCGGCAGCACCCAGCAAAGATCAACACCGGCATTCCGAACGCTGATGCTGTCTTGGAGGGGCTGGATTACTTGGGGATTGCAGATGGGGTGTCCGGTGTGTATCACCTCGGGCTTTCCCCGGATGCCTTGCCCTGGGAGCTGCTCCGCTCCTGCGGCAAGGGCCTCTTTGCAGCCGCGGCCAAAGGGGAGCCCCGCACCGGCAGGTCATTGGGCAACTGGCTGGTGAACTTGATCGAAGAGTCCTACGATGCCACAGAGGAACATCAAGGGCTCACTTGTCAATGGGACTTGTGCAGGGCATGCGGGGTAGCAATCTGTCTACATGTTTTTCTTATTATTCTTAAGCAAACAAGTCGACAGCTCGAGTTGCAAGGAGCAGGGGGCCACAACATTGCTGCTGGCGGCCATCAAGGGCACTGACCTGGTCACGGCTTGTTTGGGCGACAGCGCCATTTTGGTGCTCCGCCCCGTGAGCTTCGTACCACTGCGCCTGAAGACCATCTTCAAGACGGAGCCCGGGCGCTTCGACGAGCGCCGGCCGGTGCAGGTGACGCGCCCTTTAGGGGGGGGACCCCAAATTGGGCCCCTCAAAATGGCGTGGAACCGTTTTGCCTCTGGTCTCCCTTGAATATTGAGCATGGATTTGTCAAAGAACATATTGAATTGCCAGCAATTTCGGGGACACCCCCTTCTTAGTCAACGGTTGGCTATGCCATTCCACCAACCTCAAAGACACCAGGTGCAGCGACTGGAAGGCTGCGATGTGGAGCTCGCACATGATGTGATTCGAACAGCGGCCGTGGCAACAACACCCGTTCAACCAGGAGACATTGCAAGCAAAAAGCGGCCTTTTTGCATTTTTTGCTTTTCCCCCCCCCCTTTTTTGCATTGTTGCCCTTTTGCCTTTTTGCCTTTTCGCCCTTTTGCATTTTTTCCTTTTTGCCCGTTTGGGTTTCCTCCATTGTCCTTTTACACTGCAAAATGGTGGGTTGTTTGCGGGCGTGCTCTATATAGTTGAATTAGCTCCGCACAAATTCTTGAACTCTGCTCAAATCACTCCCTTCCGGTCGAAGTCGTGATCGCGGTGAGGAGATTTCTTGGTTCTGGGCACGGATGGGCTTTTCGACAACTTGTCGGATTTGGACATCAAGCAGGTCCTGGAAAGATGTTGCAGAGCCTCGGGTTCCAACGACGAGTTGCACGAGGCAGCAGCAGCATTGGTGGACCTTGCTATCAAGAGTGTGCGGTTGGGCCCAGACAACATGGACAGGCCCCCTTGGCAAAACAACACCAGCGCAGTCCCGGCGAACAATGCGGATGACACCACGGCATTGGTGGCGATGATTCAGGCTGAGGATCTCTCCTTGTCGGACGTCTTTGCGGAAATTCCAGGTGATCGCTGCAGAAGGGGCCACAGAGGCAGTTCGGACCGCATGGCGTCGGCGACTTGTCTTCAAGAGGGTGTTTAGGATTCCAGATGTGGGGCATGCAGCCTGCACGGCAGATGTCTTTTCCTCCAAGGATGGAAGACGGGGCAGCCAGAAGCGCTCGCTCCAAGGCTGCAACTACCTTGGAATCAGCAGTGTCGGAAGCCCCTAGCGTTCCTATGGACAAACTCTTGCTGAAGTGGCTCTTCTTTTTTTTTTTGGGGGGGGGGTGCTTCACTGCGAACGTTTGGGGCCTGGAACCTATTGGACTTCACTTGTTTGCCATAGGGGTTGAAGACTTGGACCGCGACGTCCTGAGAGCAGTCCGTGTTCTTCATATGTTTTTGTGACTGTTGGGTAGTCACGGCCATGGGCTTTGACTTGCCTTTGCGGTGTGGCCGGAAGAGCGTACATAGATCCCCGGCGAGCTTGCATGGATCTGAGGTTTAGCACGGGCACCACCAGAGGACGCAGTGAGAATTGCGTCATCTCTTGAGCGTGATGTGCACGAATCGAGGGGTGTTGGCCATTGGAATGATTCGCTGAGACCAAGGGATAAACGGTGACAGCCACAATGACCACAATGGTGGACCAGCCTCAAAAGCGGCTGACGTGACTGAAGCGCTGCACGTCAAGTAATTCAAATGCATGGAGGCGGCTGCCTTCTAATTCACCCTGCCATGTGGCGATGTGTTTTCGTTTCTTGTGGCAAGACCGTCTCACAATAATTGTGCTGTTCCGGATAGAGTGTGCCATATGGACCCGGGAAACATGTTTCTTTATCAATTCATGCATGTTCGCCTAGTGCTAGCTCTTGGCTTTGCACGGTATGCTCAGAGCTTTTGAAGGTTCAATTTGCTTGGTGCAAAAATGCAGCGTGTGGGTTTGGCATGAGCCATTTCACCACCTGCCACCGACTCTTGAGCTGCTGTCCGAGATTTCTTGGCTCATATCATGGAAGCTTTAAAGAGAACATCGTCAGTGGCAGTCGTTGGGCCGCAGGCGAAATCAAACCCATGGAATGCAGCTGTTTGTTTGATTCGGCTTTTTTGGTGGGACAGCCGTGACCTCAATCATCCACTAGCAAAGCATCCGAGTTGTGGTGCCTTTTTTAAGGTGATTGGAGGTGCCGAGCAGAGGCATTTGCTCGTATAGCAGCTGAAGCTTGGCATGAAGAGACTTCGGTTTGTGTTCGTTTGCCCCCAACAAACCTGGGGCCCTTGAAACCTTCGTTTCAAAGCCCATGTTGATCCTGATGGATCTTTGGATTCTATGTTAACCTGGGAGTAGGCTACTGCAAGCTGATCTCCCACAAAAAAAAGCAAAAACAAACAAACACAAATCGGAGGAATGTCAGCCGAGGTGATCGGTGTCCAACTTTTCCGCGGGAAGTCGCGCATCTGGCTTTCCCAAGTGAAGCGCAAGCAGCTTCAGCATCTTCTCTCTGGGCTCCTCAGATGAATGCCATGTCGACCCTGGATTTTAAGAACAAAACGCATCCCCCCCGCCCCTCAAATATGGAATTAGGGGAGGGGGGTGACCCCTGGAGATCTCCATTTATAGTTCCATTTCCTTTGTAAGGGGAAGACTAGATAACTGGAATTGCGGAGGGGGATCAAAAAGCGGTTGAGTCCGGGGTCCTTCCTTCAACGTCAGAAGTTCCCTCTCTCCAATACGACGCCCCTTTCACTACACATGATTCAGCCGGGATCGGTCTTGGCTCTCTTCGTGTGGGCAGATTTGTGCGTTTCTGCCTGTGGATCGATATAGCTCGCTCGGTTGGGCGTATCATGTTTGCTGAAGATGTCGGGCAGGCACATTGTTTCACACACCGGGCTAAGCTCCACTTGGTTATAGTATAGAAGTATGTACTGTATGTAGACACGAACATGCAGACATGTTTGCATGCATGTTTATGTATACCTATGTATATGCGTGTTTATATATTGAGAAAAACGCACACAGATGCACATGCATTCATATGAGAAAATGCTTACCTGGAGGCACAAAGGGCTCCCGACAAACCACGAGGGTAGGCCATTTGCCATGGCCAGTGTTTTATCAAGAATTCTCGAGCTAGTCCACCTCAGGTCTCTAGATCGGTGGGTGGTTGCGAAGACTGTGCTTCAGCTACTTGCCTGAATCTTTGCCTGACGAGCCGGTTTGGGGGAAGGAAAGCCCAGGCCCCCCCCACCTAGCCCTTCTTGTAAAGGGGGGGGGTTGTTCACAAAAAGGGCTCTGAGAACCTTCCTGGTTGGGAGGGGGGGGGGGGGCCGAAAATCATCTCCCTCATTTTAAGCTTGACACTTCAAGGAGGTGATGCTAGCTCAGCTGAGGTACTTGGCCGCAATACTGGTTCTGAGTCCTGTCAGCAGGCCACCACCAAGTAGCCGAGCAGTTTGCAAGTGATGAGAGTGAAGAGTCGTCCGAAATCATAGGCTTGCCCATGCTTGAAGAGCCCTCTACTTGGGAAGGCTCTACTACCGACTTTTCCGTGGTCTTCGCCTACAGTGGGAAGGTCACCTCACAAAGCATTTTCTAGGCTGGACCGGGGGAATCTGAACTCGTCTCACCTTGGTTCGGTGCTCACCAGTTTTGCAACAGATCCTGCATGACTGACATGCCAGTGGATTAGTGGAGGGGGGGGGGGCATCCTATGGATGGAGGGTACACAAATTCTTGCTGGTTCGATAGGCAGGGAATGAGAAATGGAATGACCCAGAGATAAATAAACCATCCCCTATGGTTTCCTTGCAGGGAATCCCAAAACGTTCCTTCCCAACACCCGGACTCGACTGCTGCCAGGCAAATTTCTGGAGGCCCAGTGCTTCGGGCATAGGGCCAGACGTGAGGAGGAGCACGACGATCGGAATCCGGATCAACGAATTGCGGCCGACGCCGCTTTGCCGGCGGTTTCGGTCTGGATTTGCCGCATTTTGTTCCTGCTGGTTCGTGAACACCCAAACAATGCTAATTTTTTGGCCGACCTGTCAGACGTGCAGGTTGGCAAATTCACGTCCTTGGCGACCATTTTGGCTTTGGATGGTTTTCAGGCGCTGGTGGATCTTTATTTCTATTCGCGCTTGCTGTGGACCCTGTCTCCCGTCCTGTCGCGCCTTGCCGTGTTTGCCGCCACCTTCGGCACGCTCCTAACCCAGTGGCTGGGTCGAGAGTTGCCCGCCTTGTACTCTGCGGAGCGCGCCGCTGATGGCATGTTCATCTATGTGCTCACGCGGATGCGGGAAAATGCGGACGCTGGGGCGAAAGGAAAGCCATTCGGCTCCCGTGGCCTTTTAGATGTCATATTTTTTGAGGGGCCTCGAAGCTGTTGTTTTTCCTCATTGTTTTTGGTCGTTTTTGAGATTTTATATTTTTCGAGGGACCTCGAAGCTGTCTTTTTTTTTCCTCCTCATTGGTCATTCTGTCGTTCTTAAGCTGTGTAGCCAGGGATGGATCACGGAATCGCCGAGGAATCCATTCTTTTCTTCGGCGGCGAAGGGCGCGAGGTCCAGCGGGCCGAGGGAGCCTTGCAGGAGCGGCAGGCGAGCGAGTGGAAGCGCCTGGCTGCCAAGGATGTGGTGCAGCTGGTCCAGGATCAATATCGACAGGCTTTGAGCCTGAGCCCCTCCTTGGTCTTGGTACCTCTACTGCTATTGGGTTGGATCTTTAGACTTCCACTTTTTGGATTCCCCTCATAGTTCCTTTTAAGCAGCAAAGGTACAGGTCGCCGGTGTGGCACAGGATGCGGCTCTTCTGAACCAGGCGAACGAGGCCTTTGACGCGGTGGTCAGGGCCCTGCTGCTGGTGGCCGACAATTGCTCGGACTTCTCGCGGCTCAGCGCGGTGGCGCTGGAGCTGCACAGCTATCACCTGGAGCAGCTGGAAGATCCGGCGGAGACGTCGAGGATTCGTATCCAGGCCGTGGGGAAGCAGGAGCCGTGGCTGGAAGTGAAAGGCCTGACGCTGTGCCTGGCGGATCGCACCTTGGTGGGGGGTGGCCAAAAGGGATGTTCCCTTGAAACCCTGCCAGGGTGTTGGACATTGACAAAAAAGCCAAAAAAAGTCAGGGGAGCAGATTTTGAAGAGGTGTTGCTTCTGCTCTACCGCCTTGTGCCTAAAGGCATCGAACAAGATCCCCCCCGAAGCTTGGCCCCCTGAGGTGAAGGATTTGTGCTTCGAAGCTCCGGCGAGCGGGGGCTTGCTCATCTCCGGGCCCAGCGGAGCGGGGAAGACCACGCTCCTGCGCGCCCTCGCGGGCTTGTGGCACAAAGGCGCGCACATGAGAGGGTTTTTTCCGGTATAAAAAGGGGGGGGGTTCTGGGGCTCAGCCCCGCCCCACTGACAAGCAATTTTTTGGATAATTGCCCCCTGAGGCGCCTTGTAAAGTGCCCATTGGTTCCTTGCAGAAGTCTCCTTGTCCTGAAAGGCACGGGGGAGATCAAGCGTGAAATGCGAGAAGGCCACGTCCTCTTCTTGCCGCAGAGGCCGTATATGAGCTTGGGCACCCTACGAGAGCAACTGCTGTATCCAAACCCAAAGGTGGCAGCTGATGATGCCTATCTACACGAGGCCCGGTTGGAAGGCGAACGCGCTCCCGAAAAGGACCGAATGCTTACCCTCCCGCCAACTAATGGCCAACTAATATGCCGGAAGGCCGATCCTGAAACGGAACCAAGTTCTTCCATTTCGGGGTTGGTTCGTTCGGGAGCTTCCAGGGAATCGTCTGGAGAAAGCCCGACTTCAGGTGAGCCACAATAAAAACCCGGGTAGATGAAGGTTAGTAAAGGACCGTCCAGCCAGAAACAGCTGTGGATATCCGCCTTTGTATTTCCTTACATGGTTCCGGGTGAACCATTTTAATTCCGGGTTTTTGATCGTGACTTAAATGGCCATGCGTTTTAATTGGGAACCACCTGAGAAGTGGGGGTGG